TTATATATTGATCATTGAAAAAGTATTGCTCCAGATGCCTAATCCTTTTCTCTGAAACCCTATTATGTTTATAATATTTATTGTTTTGTTTTTTTTTAAGTGACAATATAAAAAAATAGGGTGCGGTTCGTATAGAGCCTAGGCTCTAAACAATCAACTTAGAACCTAACTTCAAATAGTTTTGAAAAATATGGTTTCAATACTGGACATCTTTTTGATAGCCTTAAAATATATTTTCATCTTTATTTATAAATTTTAATGCTTAAAAAATAATGTAGATCGAGAGATCTATGAAAACTTGAAAATCTTGAAAATTTCCAAAATTGCATTTTTCTTTAAAAAATTGAGCCACTGATCGGCCGATCTAGTCGAAATCAGTCGGACTAATCGGATTAGGCCAGGGCCGACTAATCGGCCTGATCCGTTGCTTTGAGCACTGGTATATTGTGTTTACTTCCTCGGGTGAAAGATCAACTTGCAAGGAAATTTTTTCTTTTATATGAAAGTTTGGGATCGACCTAAGAAAGCACCGAATGATTATTTTCAAAAAAGCAAAAAAAAAGAAAAGAAAAAAAGATTTGAGTTTTTGACATTTACCTATAATTGGATGGTGTCGGTTCAAACTTTCAATGTTTTTTTTTAAGATACACGGAGTGCAATTTGACTTATTTTGAGGTGAATCACTAGGTTGAAGAAGTTAGTCTTGGGTTCCTATAAATACTCCTAAATGGGGTCTTACCCGAGGTAGTAAATGGATAATATGCTCCCATGTGAGAATTAAGTCTGGCTATTTCATAAAGGGAAAAGTTTATATAGACCTGGGGCTCTAAACAATCAAATTTGAGCCTACCTAAAAAATTTCACTAGAAGAGATTGTTTTGATGTCCAAGTATCTTAATTGATCATCTCGACATCAAGATGCATGGACGTGAGAAAAAAATTGATTTCAAGTTTTGGAAATAGTATATTTTGTAACGCATTTTTGGATCGGCAATTTTCAAGATTTTCAAGTTTTCATAGATATGTCGATTTGTACTATTTTTGAAACTTAAAAATAAAAGTATAGTTTAAGGCTATCACAAAGATTTACAATATTGAAACCATATTTCGCAATACTATTTGAAGAGATTATTTAGAGCCTAGGGTCTATACAAACTGCACCCTTTCATAAATGGTACCAAATCAATAAAATCACGCGCTTGGATATGGACCTTAACTGCACTTCCAATTTCTTGCAGGGACAAAAAGTTCATGGTTGTAGCGATTTGAAAACTTCTGCCTCAACTAGGGTTAGTTCTCTTGACTTGGCGCACCAAGGTTTTAGTAATGTTTTGAAAATGGAAAAATAGGTTGAAGAGCGAACTATTCGTGGAACGGGTAAAAGACATATGTCGGAACTTATAGCGAGGATACGATTTTTAATAGAGTAGAATGACAGTCAGAACTTATGATGAGGATATGACCTTTAATAGAGTAGAATGACAAATCATGATTTATACGGCCAACCCCAAATAATTGAGATAAAATGATATATCATGATTTGTACAGCCAACCCCAAATAATTGAAAAAAAACTCAAATGCTAATAATGATAAGATCGAGTTGTTCGCCCACCGATTGGAATAAGGCAAAACTAAGGGAGTCATACCTTTATAGAGACCCAGCAGTTTATATAGCTGGCTCAACAATTTTTAAAACAGTCACAAGTATCATCTACCTGCCTTGGATGGCACGTTAGACCACCCAAGTGTTATGTCCCCCACGTGTTAAGTCCACTCTCTCTCTATCCCAATCCATCCATTAAATAGATGGGGATAGGTACTTGCTATCAATTTTCTATACTCGAATATAGTGTTTTTTCGATCCAGATTGTGCATATGGATGGAAATCGATGAGGACCGATCTAGTTTTGGTAATTGGTATGTTATGGGTTCCCCTAAAACCTTTTATTTTTTTATTTTTTTTAAGCTTATTCAAGGTTTTATGAAGTTCTCTCTAAATCTCTACCTTATAAACTCTTATTTTAAGTTTTTTTTATTTAAATTTAATTTTTTAAATATATTCAATTCGGGATCTTCGATCCAACGATGCGACATAAACTACAAGTGATCGATCCACCCACCAATCCGAATTTTAAAGTAGTGGTCACATAGATATGTGATCATAGGGATAAGAGGCCAAAACGGAAATCGGTCAAAAAAAAAAGGAAGAAAAGCCCAAAAGGAAATACGACGGAAAAGCCCAAAAGGAAATACGACCACATAGATAGTGGGCCCAAGCCCGAACGGGCATGTCTGTCTCTCTATGGGTTCAAGCCCAATGGACATTAGATATGAGCGTGTCTCTCCCTCTAAAACAGAAGCCCAATGGACTTCACACGTGTTTTTCTCTCTCTAAGAGAAAGCCCAATCAACCTCACACAGTGTTTCTCCCTCAACAAAATCTTTTGGCAAAACAAAACAGAGGAGGAGACACGGTCTTGTGCCTTCAAATGCTCTTGGCTAAGAACACAAGAGCATGTGTCACTTGGGTTATGGATTCAGCAGCATGTAGACTGGCAGCGCATGCATTTCTCTCACCTAGGCCTATGCCATGGCCTCCATGTTCCTGTAAACACGTTTCAACAGCTCTTGCTAAACCCACCCTTAGAGAATGCAATCGATTTCTAATCCATTATGCCGGTAAAAGGAAATAGCTCTTGCCATAGTTTTTTTTTCATGAACTTCTTCCCCTTATTAATTTATTATAATTCATTTCAATTATACTTTTGTTTTTGGCAACGGTAGAATTTGGGTTTGCTCAAAATGGGTTCAGCTATTTTACTTTGATTTCTGTCATCTTGGTTATCAGGGACTTGCCATTTCTTATGCAAACCTCAATGATTTGGCTCAAAATGGGGTTCAGCTATTTTACTTTGATTTCTATCATCTTGGTTATCTGGGGCTTACCCTTTTTTTCTGCAAAACTCAATGATTTGGCTCATTTTCTTAATTTGTTTCATATGAAATGAGTTGTTTTATATAATCATATAAAGAAAGAATAATGGGTGGTCTTTATCTGATTAAACTAGTGGGAAAGTGTAAGAATAGTAGAAACGGATTGAATATGGGTAATTGTGTTTTTGGGCGCTTTGGCTGCATTTTGGATTTGGGTTATCAGTATTTTTCATTTCATCTTGTACCTTTTTGTTAGTTATGTTTTTGTTAGTTATGTTGTAAAAATGGGTGAATAGTTCAAAATAAAATCATCATACTCCATCTTATAAGTAAGTCCATATAAGTTGATTTTTATTTTTGAAATTTTAGTCTGAATCAGTAATTTTGCTTGTTCCTCAAATTCTATAAAAGAAAATACTACGGAAATTCATAAAGGAATTCTGACTAGCTAATCAATGGCAGAGTTTTCCGTGTAAATAATTTTGGTCGAACCAAGTGCATTATAACCCCAACCCACTATGAAACTCAATAGGCTTCTAGGATTACACTTGTTACTTAAGCGAACAAAATTCACATGCTCAAGTTTATAATCTAAATGCTTAAAAAGTTTGCTAAGGTTCGTATTGCCTCTTCTTAGGTGCAGTATTGTCGTTAAGCTCATATTCTTTTTCATAAATAGCCAACTAAATAGATAGATGTAGAAGATGTTCCCCACATGAGCAATGCTATACTCATGTAATGGCTGAGCTATTGTTAGGTTACCATCATGATATGTTAATCAAGCACTTAACGCAACCTGTCATCCCATGATAATTCCAAACTAAGGACCCTAAATGAGCATCCTTTAGCTTATCAAACTAATTTGGCCTATCTGCTATAGCGCCCTCGTGATCTGGAATGAGAATTAGAAGATCACTTATCATAATGAGGAATCCTTTTTTTAAGAATAGTTGCCCTTTGGTGGTCCTTGTATCTGTTTATGGTTGATAGAGGCAAAAGGACCAAATAGCCTATAAGTATCTAACAGTGACAAGATTCTTAAAACTTTATTACAAGGTGTTTCTTGAATCGTTAAACTCATATCTATCGTTCATGTGATTTGTGAGTTTTAACTGCATTCAATGATTTATATCCAGTTATTTGTCTAGGATAATGAACTACTCCCTACAATATAAGTCTTTGTAAGCTTGGGTTGAGCTTTTGAGTCCCTTCAGTTATTTTTGCACTCTTTGCCCTTATGTGAAGTTTCCTTTCTTTAAATGAAGTTTTATCCCTTTTCCTGTTTCTTTTTCTTTTGGCGACAGCAAAACGAAGAGATGCATCTTCTTGGACATCTGGCATTGGTGAAGCTGTCAATGAAGTTTCTTCTGATAAATTTCTCAATGTAGTATTATTTTCTCCTCAGGTACATCTCACTTGAACTCATAAAATTATCCTGAATTCAGTCTATCAACGAGAACGTAACTGCTTGTCTTTATTCTTGAAGTCTCCAAAGCTTGTTCTAGAAAAGGAATCTAAGACATGTTATAACTGGAAAGTGTTAATGTACATGATGTGGTTGATTTTTCATACTTATAAGCTGATAACTATAATAATTAAGTTTCCTCCATTTTGCTTTCTACTAAAATATGCAAAATCTAATGATCGCACATTGCTCAGTTTACTAGTTCGTTCGGGTGGTGCCTTTCTCTGAACAACATTTAATACCATGAGCACTGTCTGAACTTGCCTAATATTGGGCTTGTCAGTGATTAGGTTTTTGTGAAGTGACTTCTAAGTAGTGTTGGGCATGGTCATCAGAGATGATTGCTTAGGACTTACTTATTATAGCTACCTATTAATCCTCAGTAAAACTGGTCTTTTTCCATCTCTAAATGAATCGCCATTTGATAACACTTTTGTTTTGTTTTTATAAGTATAATAAGTGCTTGTTTTTAGATTTTTTATAATGTCAGTTGTGGGAGCGATTGGTCAAGGCCTCGATTGCAACTTGAGTATCTGAAGGAAAACTGATGGCTTGTGTTCATTAGCCTTTCTCATGTCATATTCCATTCTAAAGAACTTCGAAATATTTGGAGACTTGCAAGATGGTGGCTTATTTGTCACAATCACTATTGTTAAAAAAATGTCAGGTGGGCATGAAGAATATCCTAGACCACATTCAGTAAATTATTTGGAGCTATAAAAGGAAAGATATCAGTAAATGCTGTGATCTTTGGACATTTTTTAGTTACGTGAAATGGTCGGTCCATCATGGTTGGTCATGTTTGGTCCCAAGCCGATCATGCCGGTCCTAAGACCGGATAAAAGAGGAGGGCTGTGTTAGGTACGGTAGCTTGCATAAAACTTTGGCACTTTTTTCATGAATCCTGAAATGGTGTAATTGAGGGTATGAACCGTTGATAGAGCAGAATTCCGGAACATGATTTGTATAGCTGACCTCAAATAGTTGGGATAAGGCTCTGATGATGATGATGATGAGTAGCTTAGTGTAATCATTTCTTCGAATGAAGACAAACTACTAGGTCTCACAATTGTATCATGTATAGAATAGTTGTGCACAGTTGGAATAAGGCTTGGATGATGATGATGATGATAATACAATAATTGTGCACGGATTATAGACTTAGGTTGTCTGAAGTAGGAACAGTTATCAATTTTCAGGTATACAATAGGATTTGCTAGGATTTGTTAGGTCTCAGAACAAGTCTTTCCTTAGTACAACGTTTGTAATTTCCATTTGATTGGTGTGCTTATTTGAGAAAGAAAAAGAAAAAATTAAAAAAGAAAAGGAAAGAAAGATCAACTGATACATTTTTGCCAATTATTATTTTACTTTCCTGCCCCAGTGATAAAGGAAGGGGCCTTCCTTTTTGAGGCTGTTGTGGGCAAGGATGGATTCGAACCCCTGAAACCATGGTTCACATGCTCTAATCCTCTGAGCTATGGTTCCTGCCCATGTCCACTGCGCCTATTCCCAGGAATTCTTTTCTTACTCGGAGTTCCCTTGATCCCAGCTATAAGTAGAGCAAGTAGTTTTCTTATAGAAACCCCCCCCCCCCCCCCCCCCCCCACCCCACCACACCCCCATCAAAAGAAAAAACAAAAAAATCAAAAAAACATTTTTCCTAGCCATTGGATGGGCCGTAAATCAATTATTTGCTCGTTAAATGCAAGAGAATGTGATTGGATGCATTTCTAAAATAGGAAAATGGAACAAGTGATTGTGATGCTTTTGTTCTTGGGTTGCAGGGTATTATTATGCTGGCTACCACTGAGATAGTTCTTCTTCTTGTCAGATTCCGGGGAATACAGGGTGTGTTGCAAGAACTTGTGCTGCTTCTGCTGTTGGTCTGCATCTCATTGAGGTAAAATTACTTTTGAAAAGAGGAAAACTGTTCTTTACTTGATCCTTTTAACGTCGAAATTTTCATGGATGCGAGTTTTTTATGCTACTTAAAAAATAATGCCTCTTTGAGGTAGTCAAGGATATGGGAATTTTCTGAAATTACGATGGTTTTGAAGTCTTGACAGTTTTTTAAATCTCAGAATGCGATGAAATTTGCATGTTCTTTTATACTGATGTGGTAAAGACCTACTTTTTCTTGCAGCCATTGGGATTCCAGGTAGATGATACAAAATTAAAGCGTGCTGGATTGGATTATTGGCCGTATCCTGTTCTACTTTTATGCTTCTGTTCTCCTGAGCTCTGGTTTATTACCTTATGTAGGAGACCACAAACCAAGTTCCATGGTGAGAGAGAGGTTTATACTTTTCAAAAGAAAAGAAGACTGTTTCTCAAAAAAAGAATCAAGTCTTGATACCTCAAAAACCTTTTTTATTTTTTTGTTATGAAGAAGTTTTTTTAGGAAAGTAGCAGTCAAAGACAACAGGAACATTTTTGGGGAAATATAAAATCCATTGCTGTACAGTTGGCTCTGATTTGACATAGCCCAAATAGGTTGTTTTGGCTCTCATTTGGCTGATGCTCTTTCTAATCAGTCTGTAGATTGTTTGTGTGTGGTTCTGAGTTGACTGAAGTCTGGCTCCTGTTTGGCTGAATCTCTAGCCATAATTTTGCGTGTTTTGACTCCATTTTTTGATCGATTTCAGTTAGGCTACATTTATGTTAGTTCGCTTCTATGTATAGTGAGAGATTTAATGGAGTGGAACCCATAGGAAGATTAACTTCGGTGCAGTTAAATGCCAACCATGGTAGATGTAGCCTGAAGCACTATAGTCTAGAGGACTATGTTTTTTATGATCAAGTCAAAAGGGCTTTGTTATACTTTAACTGGATATAATTTTTTATCGGTTAGGCTTCATCTTGTAGTGATCTTAAAGCATGAAATCTTTCAGTTGAGGCTTTGACCAACAGATTAGGTACGTGGTGGTGAAGATTCACAAGTCTTGGGAGGAATTTCTGGACTATTTTGGGCAACAGGTAGTATTCCTTTCAGGAAAATATACAGTAAGTCAATTGAGTAAGGTATCCTGTACCACGGAGGGCAATCCACCATCTGTGCCTGAGATGGATGGCAAAGATTAATTGTGTGTGGGTAAATGTTCCACTGGGCACCACTACAGTTATTCTACACAATTGAACAAGGAAAATGAACAGTGTGTGGGTAAATGTTCCACTGGACACCACTACAGTTATTCTACACAATTGAACAAGGAAAATGAAATTGAACAACTTTCTACAGTTAATATTGCTTTCTGCTGGGACTTGAAATTGTCTTGCGTCATTGTGTCTTGCAGAAGGGGGAGAAACGGTTGCTGGCATTTACAAAGAAAGGGACACGAATTCATACAGTGAGTTCTACTGAATTGATTATTGTCTGGTAGTGCTCTTTGTGTGTGTGTCTGCGTGCGTGTGTGTTTGTGTGTGTGTGTGAGAGAAAGAGAGAGGGAGGGAGAGAGTATGAACAGCTTATATTCCTGAAACAATCGAAAATATCTAACAGCTTATAGTTACTGAAATGACCGAAAGTTTTAACAGCTTATACACAATTTGGGATATTTTTTGTGTTTCAGGATTTTGAGTATAAGAGAGGTGATTGGCTTGTGTTTGGTTCTGAGACTTCTGGATTGCCCCAGAAAGTCCACCAGGATTGCCAGAGTGGAGAATATGGGGGTGGAACAATTCAGATACCAATGGTGGAAACATATGTTCGGTGCCTTAATCTGTCTGTGAGTGTAGGAATAGCTATTTATGAAGCATATAGGCAGCTGGGGTATGAACAGCTTGGAGATGCAACGGACAACTGTGTTAATGGAGATCGAGCATATGTATCTGAAGACATATTTGTATGATTTATAAAAAAGAATTGCATTGGCACCTTTAGTTCTAGAGATTGAAGAGAATTGATACAAAATAAAAAATCAAGAGAGAAAAAATGCAGCATAGAATTGTGTCCTTATTTGAAAGAAAGAGAGTATTTTCCTTATTTTTATGTTACAAATTTGTGTCCGACTTCGGTGCAGCCCTGGCCACTTCAAAACCCGATGCAACCTTCCTCAAAATACATAAAAAAA